CTGTTATTTAATTACTGCTTGCTTTCTAAGCAGTGTAGAGCAAGAAGTTTTATTTTATTTATTTATTTTTAAAAGATTTTATATATTTATTTGACAGAGAGAGACAAGAGGGGGAACACAAGCAGGGGGAGTGGGAGAGGGAGAAGCAGGCTTCCTGTGGAGCAGGGAGCCAGATGTGGGTCTCAATCCCAGGACCCCGGGATCATGACCTGAACCGAAGGCAAATGCTTAAGGAGTGAGCCACCCAGGCGCCCTGAGCAAGAAGTTTTAAATGGAGAAAGTGTCATATTTAGAATCTTATTGCAATGTAATTTTTTTTTAAAGATTTTATTTTTAGGTAATCTCTACACCCAGCATGGGGCTTGAACTCACAATTCCTGAGATGAAGAGTTGCATGTTCTACTGACTGAGCCAGCCAGGCGTCCCTGTTACAATATAATTGAATTCAACCGACCAGTAACATTTGATGGTACACTAGCTGTAGCATTTATATTACATGTTTTTCCATATATCTGACCCTTAAACTGTCTTCAAATCTCACTGCTTTTATTTGCTTGGGTGTGTGTGTCCTAGATGTTCCATCCATATTCAGAACAACCTTGTCTTAGTATCTGTCCATCAATCAACAGAATCAGAGTGGGAATTTTGTTGATAAAAATGGAGCTACTGAAAGTGAAGATCATTTTTATATTTTAAAGGCCACCTTTCATGGGTATTAGATGTAGGGACATTTGTAAGTGTTGCGGTCTTTAGGACAAAATGAATTTAGGTTGAATATATTAGTTATTAGGTGATTCTGTGTATTGTATAGGATTTTCCTAGGATTGGTTCCTTTATCATGCCATTTAATGCTTCCAAATTATTAGTTCTATCTAATGAAGTTATGAGACAGAGAAGGCAGGAGCCGTGAAGAGGATAGGGAAAAAGCATACAAATATTGAAGGAAAATGTTTCGATCCCTTCTCAATTCAAGATCATTTGAAATGAAGGCAGAGTACTTAGAAAATACTTGATTTACAGTTTTTCAGGCATGCATTCTAATGTGTACTTCAGCATACAGAACTATACATGCAGCTCCTTTGCTCAGACCAAACGTTCTTGCAAGACACTAATAACTAACTTTGTGGTGGGTGGTGAGATAGTAGATTCTGAGTCACACAATACAATTTCCGGAGAGTTGATAATACATTTGTGTATAATACAGATTTGACTGTAAGGGGCCAGCCAATACAATATGGTCAGAAACCATTAAGGAGTAGTATTAACAAAGTATGGTGATTGCAGACTTTCTTGAGCTCTGGGCCTATAGACTTTAGTGCTAGTTGACCACAGTAGAACATTTGCTGCTTTGGGATTAGTCTTCTATGCCTAGGTAAAACATAGCTCAATAGTTTTCTTTGCCTGAAAAATATATTGGCTAAAAGAAAGACCGCTAAGTTTTTTGTACTTCTAGAATGTATCTTTGAGAACAGTTGTAGAAAAACCAATGTAAGAAAAGTTGTGGCAGGTACAGGGAGGGAAATTTTTGTTTTTGCTTTTTTGTATTTGTCTCAGTTATGTAAGTTAAAATGAAAAAAAAAAAAAGAAGTGACCTTTCCTGGCAGTGGAAATACTCTTAAGTTGTAATGAATATGACATTGACATTTGGCCAAGGTTCTTTGGGAAATACAAAAGAGCTCCAATGTAGTACAATTCCTTTCCTTAGGGCGCCTGGGTGTCTCAGTCGTTAAGCGTCTGCCTTCGGCTCAGGTCATGATCCCAGGGTCCTGGGATCGAGCCCCGTATTGGGCTCCCCGCTCAGCAGGAAGCCTGCTTCTCCCTCTCCCACTGCCCCTGCTTGTGTTCCCTCTCTGGCTGTGTCTCTCCCTGTCAAATAAATAAATTAATTAAAAAAAAAAAACTCCTTTCCTTAGAGCTTATCTTTTGGTAATGGAGATAAGGCAAACAGTTTCATACTTTGGGTCAGAAAAATGTAAGAATATAAAAATATGAAGGGTGCCTGAGTGGCTCAATCAGTTGAGCATCCTACTCTTTGTTTTGGCTCAGGTCATGATCTCACATCATGAGATCAAGCCTCACATGGGGCTCTGCGCTCATTGCGGAGTCTGCTTGAGATTCTCTTTCCCTCTCCCGCTACCACCCCCACTCACACTCTCTTTCTAATAAATAAATCATTAAAAAAAAGAATATAAAAATATGAAAACATAAATATGCCATGACCTATACTTTAAAAAAAATAGCTTTATTGAAAAAAAGAAAAAATAGCTTTATTGAGATATAATTCACATATCATACAATTCAACCATTTCAGTGATTTTTATCATGCTCACATAATTGTGCAGTTATAAGCATAATCAATTTTAGTACATCTTCATACCCCGAAAGAAAACTATACCCATGTAACCACATGGTGACTATAGTTAGTGATACCATATTGCATATTTGAAGGTTGTTAAGGGAGTAGATGTTAAAAGTTCTCATAATGGAAAAAATTTTTTGTAATTATGTATGGTGACAGATGTTAATTAGCCTTATGTGGTGAGCATTTTGCAATATATACAAATAGGGAATCATGTTGTACACCCGAAACTCATAATGTTGTATGTCAATTATACCTCAATTAAAAATAAACAAAACACCATACCCATTAGCAGTCACTCCCCAGCCGTAGGCAGTAACTTGGCTATTTCCTGTCTCTGTTTGCCTATTCTGAGTAGAGTAGAATCATATAATGTGGTATTTTGTAACTGGCTTCTTTCACTTCGCACAAGCTTCATTTATGTTGTAGTATGTGTCAGTACCTTATTCCTCTTAATTGCCAAATAATGTTCCATTTTATGGATATACTAAATTTATCCATTCATTAATTGATGGACATTTGGATTGTTCCACTTTTTGGCTGTTATGAATAGTGAAATACTAGCATTATGAACATTTATGCACAAGCTTTTGTGTGGACCTAGGTTGTCACTTCTAATAATATACTATAATATACTACAATATAATAGATATAATATCTCATATATAATATATATCTAGGAGTGGAATTGACAGGTCATATGCCGGCTGTCTGTGTAACTTTTTGAGGAACTGCCGGACTGTTTTCCAAAGTGACTACACCATTTTATCTTCCCATCAATAATGTATGAGGTTTCCGATTTCTCCACATCCTCCCTAACACTTGTTATTATCTGTCTTTTTGACTATCATTACGCTAGTGTGTGTGAAGTGGTATCTTATTGTATTTCTGATTTACATTTCCCAATGTGTAATGATTTTGAGCATCTCTTCTGCTTATTGGCCATTTTTGTATCTCTTTTTTTTTTGGAGAGATGTCTATTCAGATCCATTGCCCATTTAAAAATTGCATTGTCTTTTTATTATTGAGTTTTAAGAGTTCTTTATGTTTTCTGATACAAGTCCCTTATTAGATATATAATTTACAAATTATTTACAAATATGTTCGATTCTGTGGGTTGTCTTCTTACTCTCTTAACAGCATCCTTTGAAGTACAGAAGTTTTTCATTTTGATGCTGTCCAATTTATCTATTTTTTGTTGTTGTTGCTTGTGCTTTTAGTGTCTAAGAAACCATTACCTAACCCAACATCATGTGAGTTTACCCTTATGTCTTCTTCTAAGAGTTTTATAGTTTTAGCTCTTACACATTTATGTTTGTGATCTTTTGGAATCAGTTTTTATGCATGGTGTTCATTCTCTTTGCATGTGGATATCCAGTTGTCTCACCACCATTTTCTGAGAAGACTGTAGTTTTCCCATTGGATTGTCTTGTCAAAATTGTTGGCCATAAATATGACAGTATATTTCAGGACTATCTGTGCCATTGTTCTATATGCCTGTCCTTCTGTCCTTATAGTAGTGTAGCACCACCTTGATTATGTAGCTTTGTAGTTAAGTTTGACATTGGTGAGTGTGGTCTTTCTACTTTGTTCTTTTTCAAGAATATTGTCCATTCCAGGTCTCATGCATTTCTATATAGATTTAGGATCAGCTTGGTTAAAAAAAAAAAAAAAAAAAAAACCTATCCTGGGATTTTGGTAGGGATTACCTTGAATCTTGTAGACCAGTTTGGGTGTATTGCTATCTTAATAGTATTAAGTCTTTCAATTCATGAATGTAAAATAACTTTCCATTTATTTAAGTCTTGAATTTCTTTCAACAGTGTTTTAGAATTTTCATTGTACAAGTTTTGTACTTCTTTTAAATTTATTTCTAAGTAGTTGAGTCTTTTTTTTTTTTAAAGATTTTTTTTATTTATTCATTTGTGGGAGAGACAGAGAGAGAACAAGCAGGGGGAGAGGCAGAGGGAGAGGGAGAAGCAGACTCCCTGCTGAGCAAGGAGCCCGATGCGGGACTCGATCTCAGGACCCTGGGATCATGACCTGAGCCGAAGGCAGACGCTTAACCATCTGAGCCACCCAGGCGCCCTGTAGTTGAGTCTTTTTGATGCTATTATAAATTGTTTTCTTAACTCCATTTCTGGGTTTTTTATTGCTGATGTATAGAAGCACAACCGATTTGTGTATGTTGATCTTATATCCTACAACTTTGCAAGACTTGTTTATTCTAATAGTTTTCAATGGATTCCTTAGGATTTTCTATGTACAAGATGATATCATTGTAAATAGAGATAGTTTTACTTCTTTCTTTTCAATCTGGATCCCTTTTGTTTATCTTACCTAACTGCCCTGACCAGAACTTCTAGAACGATGTTGAATAGAAATTGTAGTCATAAAACTTCCTTGTCTTATTCCTGATGTTCGAGGGTAAGTCTCTAAGGTAAACCACTAAGCATGACGTTAGCTGCAGGTTTTTATAGATGTCCTTTACCAGGTTGAGAAGTTCCCTTCTATTCCTAGTTTTTTGGGTGTTTTTATCATGAAAGAGTGTTGTATTTTTGCCAAATGATTCTTCTGAAATAAATTAATTAAAAATGACCATTTTCTCTGTTTTTTTTCTTTCTCTCTTTTTTATCCACAGAAATTGACTTGCATACCAAATGTGTGGTGGATGTAGATGCAAACAAGGTTATACTTAGTCCTGTAAATACTAATCTTTCCAAAGGAGAAGCCCGGTAAGTTAAGAAACAGTGTTATGTTCCGTGGATTTTTAAATGACTGAAAGCAACAATGGCTGCTGAGCTGAGTTCAGCTCAGCAAATAACAAATGCTTCATTACTGTGTAGAGACACATAGCTGTCGAATCAAAGAGGCGAGGTCTATAATATGGAATGACTAAGTGCCAGAATGAGTGTTGTAGATAGCAGTTGTATCAGAAGCTCAAAGAGAGCTTTAGGGCAGAAGGTGGAGTAACTTAGGAAGCCTTCTTGAAGGAGACACGGTACCAGCTAGAAGATTAGTAGGATGTAAATGGGAAGAGGTTGGGTAGAAGAGAAGACCTTTAGGTTGTTCCTCAGCTTGGGTTGTTTTTACTTCTGCCACGTTGAATCCTGTCAGTTAGAGCCCATTTCAGGTGCTACTTCTTCCTCAAGGCATTCCTGCATCCTTCAGTGACTCCTTTCCTCTAAATCCTTGTAAACTGTAATCTGAATCACCTAACTGAATTAATATACCTTGTTTTGGATTGCTACTTGTAGCTCTCCGGTGGATTTTAAGGTCTTGAAGGGAAGAGACTCTCTGTCAGGGGTTGAAGATGAATTGCTTCTGGATTTGGATGATAGTATGAACAAAAGCAAGGGCCAGAAAGTGTAAAGAAAGAGAATTTGGGGAAGAAGCAAGAGATTCATTTGGTTTTTCTCAGCAAGTGTAGGGAAGTTAATTTAATCAAACAAGCTACGTTCAGATTACAGAAGACCTTGAAAGCCAATAAAGAAATTTGACCTGTATTTTTATGGGTAAGATGTCATCTTTGACAGTTTTTTAATATTGTGGTTAAGGGGGTGTATTAGGAAAGGTTGTCAGTTGGCCATGTAGAGAATGGTTGCAAGTGGGGAAAAACTGGCTTTCCATAGAGATCAGCTTGATTTCAGAGACGTTTTTCTACTGACCCTGGAAGTAAATTACACATATTAGAGAGACAGTACCGTCCATGGTGCTTTGCTGGAAGTAGATACTTAAACTTGTAGAGACAATGTTGTGTATGGAAATACATACAGAAGGCACTCCATAAATGTTCTTTCAGGTTGAGTCATTGAGTTGAAAGGGCATTTCTGACTTGGAGTCAGAAAATCTTGAACCCCTACTTAACTATGTTGTTTTTAACTAGTAGCTTCTAAACTAGTAACTAGTTATTTTTAACTTTTTTGAGTCTTATCTGTATGTTGTATGCCTTACCAATCTCATAGAAGTGTTTTCTGAAGATCAAATTAGTGATTGTTAAAGTGTTTTGTAAAGTGCTCTGTAATTGTTCAGGCTTATTGTCTTTGATATAGAGCTATTTCATAAGTATCACTAGGATATGGGTACTATCAGATATGATGTTATTAGGGTGTAAAGGGTATAGATGTGTCAAAAATGCTAGGATTTTGAGCCTGCTCATTGATTGATCTGTTGTTCTGAGTATTAACTGAAATCATTAATATGGGAGGCTGTTTATTGCTCTTAGAATTTGAATTCTGGAGATTGTTGCTTTATTTGGAAATGTGGTTACCTCTGAACAAACTTGGAGGCAATATCCTATGGTAGAAAGAGTGTAGGCTTTATCTGTAGACTGACTTGGATTCAAATTCTGGCTTTGCCACTTGGTAGTGTGGTTACCTACCTGTGTTCCTTATTTATAAAGTGTTTTAGTTTTCTAAATTTTCTATTGCTGCATAACCAATTATCTTTAAAAGCTTAGTGGCTCAAGGCAACAGTAATCATTTATTAGCTCATGGTTTCTCTGGGTCAGGAATTCAGACAGGGCTCAGCAGGGATGGCTTGTCTCTGCCTCATGCTGTCCAGGGCATAGCTGGAAGACTTGAAGGCTGGGGATTGGAATCATCTGGAGATGGCTCTGTCACCCAGATCTGGTGGTTGATGCTGCCTACTGGCTGGAGAGGTAGCTGGGGCGGTAGGCAGAATACCTGCTCACAATCTGGTGTCAGGTTCCAAGGGCGATTGTCCTGAGAGAGCGACAAAGCCGAGTGGAGGTAGCATTGCCTTTTATGTCCTAACCTTGGGAGTCACACAGTATCTTCTGTCACATTCTCTTACTCAAGGCTGATCTAAAGCTCTAAACAATTTCCAGAAGAGGAAATACAGACTCATCCTTTAATGGAGGAACATTAGTGTCACATAAGAAAAGCCTTTGGGATGAGATGTGTGTTATTGTTGCTGCCTTTGGAAAACACAGTCCGCCACAAGTGTGTAATAGTATCCACCTGATAAAGTTGTTGTGAGAATAAAATGACAACATAAAAGCTGAAAAAAGATATTTTCTTTCCTTTTGAGGTCTTTAAATCTCAAGGGTTTGTGAAAGGATTAAATAGCTCTTCTAGAATATCTTGGATGGCTCTTTTTTCCATATGCTGCAGATACAAATTGAATATCACTCAGTGCTATAGAAGATTGTTCGATAAAAAACTTTAAAAAATGCCAACTTCCAATAAGGTTGGTATGTAATGGTTTTTGATGAAGTAAAGTTAAGCACAGATTTTTAAAAAACAGCTTTTATAGGGTGAAGTATATATAGCTTGATAATTTTTCATAAGTTGAACATAACTCCTGTAAGTGGCACCTAGATAAGAACTGAGAATATTGCTGGGGCACCTGCCTGGCTCATTCGGAAGGGCATGTGACTCTTGATCTCTGAGTCGTGAGTTCAAGCCCCATGTTGGGTGTAGAGGTTACTAAAAAATATAAGTAAACTTAAAAAAAGGAAAAGAACGTTGTTAGTATAATAAAAGATTGCCTTTTGAGAAGTGCTTTTTCTTTTCTTTTCTTTTTAATTTTATTGATTTATTTGAGAGAAAGAAGGAGCAGAGAGAGGGGCAGAGGGAGAGGGAGAAGCAGACTCCCCACTGAGTAGAGAGCCCGGACGGACGTGGGGCTCGATCCCAGGACCCTGAGATCGTGACCTGAGCCAAAGGCAGATGCCCAACTGACTGAGCCACCCAGGCTCCCTGAAAAGTGCTTTTTCTTTCAATATACTATCAAGGTGAAAACAGAAAATAGAAATTTTGGAATGTAACAGTCTAGCAGTACATGTTGACCTCATTAAATGTGAAGAAAAATTGGAAGAAAACATAAATTAAAACCTATTTTATGTGATATGAAGTTAATTACAGTCTAGTTTGTAGAATGATTAATCCATAAAACAAGTTATGGTTTTATAGGAGCTATATTTGTAACTAGAGAGTTAGGAATTTAAAGTTAACATGTAAGTGATTTGAGTCCATTAAAATTAGTAGTCAGAAAGGCTCAAATTAATATTTTTTCTTTAAAAGCTATAAAATCCTTGCTTTTAGAATAGTATCCAAGGGCGCCTGGGTGGCTCAGTCGGTTGATCGACTGCCTTCGGCTCGGGTCATGATCCTGGAGTCCCGGGATTGAGTCCCGCATTGGGCTCCCTGCTTGGCGAGGAGCCTGCTTCTCCCTCTGACCCTCCCCCCCAATGTGCTCTCTCTCTCTCTCATTCTCACTCTCTCAAAATAAATAAATAAATCTTTAAAAAAAAATAGTATCCAATTCTATTACTCTAAAACCATGACTAATTTTATATGTATATTTAACAACTGAAGTTAGTATACTTTGAAAGTGGACATACATACTTTTAAAATAATGATTTGTAATTTTTCTGATTAATTTTGTATTAACTTCTGGCAGTTTCATGATTTGATGTTTGTGCTTATTAAAACTAATAGAAACCCTGGTTAAATGAATGGGTAAACCATTTCTAGTGTAACAGCTTAATCATGGAGATTTGGGAAACATTTCCTGCTGTGCTTTATATGGGATTTCAAAACTGCTCTGAAAAATAAGGTGCTTAAAATTCAGAAAATTATAACACGAGGCTAAGAGATTAAGAATGCTGACTTTGGAGCCAGAAATCCTGGATTGAATGTCACCTTCACCACTTACCATGTTTGCTGTGGAGCAGGTTACTTAATGGTCCTCTGCCTCAGTTTATTCATTGGTAAAGTGGAGATTATAATAGTACCTTTCAGTAGGTTGTTATGACAATTAAAACAATTTAAAATATGTAAAATGGCAGTGGGTGGTATACAGTAAACTTTATATAAATGTAAGCTGTTACTTTAAATATTACTGTTATTGTTATTATGGGCTGCATTTATGGTGTTTGGTGAGCTATAATACACCTTCAGAAAGGAAGTAAAAAATTTTTTTAAAGATTTTATTTACTTATTTGACAGAGAGACAGCAAGAGAGGGAACACAAGCAGGGGGAGTGGGTGAGGGAGAATGCAGGCTTCCCGGAGAAGGGAACCTGATGCGGGGCTGCATCCCAGGACCCTAGGATCATGACCTGAGCTGAAGGCAGACGCTTAAGTACTGAGCCACCCAGGTGCCCCAGGAAGTAAAATTTTTTAAACCAAAATGTATTCAGTTCAGTACTAGAATATACATGCTTATCAAGAAACTATCTAGTTCTAGGGGTGCCTGGGTGGCCCAGTTGGTTGGGTGTCCAACTCTTGATTTCTTTGGCTCTGGTGGTGATCTCAGGTCGTGAGATTGAGCCCCGTGTTGGGCTCTGCGCTAAGTGCGGAGCCTGCTTAAGATTCCCTCTCCCTTTACCCCTCCTCCCCAGCCACCCCCCGCCTCACACATGTACTCTCTCAAAAATAAAAAAATTTAAAAAAATTAAAAAAAAATTTAGTTCTGTAAAAATTTCAGCTTTGCAAAGTCAGAAACTTAATTTTATCTAGTTTGCCCCAGTTGATGGGGCTCTTTGGGAGTAACATGCCATGTGTTAGAGAGCTTGACCCCTAATTTGATGTTTACAGTGAATAAAATATCAACTTACTTGGGAAACCAGGTCAAAACATTGATGTAGCATAGGGTAAGAACAAAGGGACATTTTATCAAATACGGAAAAGATTAAGGACAAAGTCTATTTTATAGCACTTTAGTCAAACACTAGAGACTGATACACTTGCATCCGACTGAGCCAGCTG